GGTAGGGACATGTCCCTACCGTCCCTACCCAAACCTACGCCCATGCTGGCATCGCTGGTCCCCACACTGTTGACAGCAAACGCACGGAGGTTGTAGGTAGTGGCGGGACGTAAATCAACCAAAGTCACCTGAGTCTTGATATCCTGAGTTCTCACAGCGACATTCCAGGACGCTGCCAATGAAACGCAAAGTTAAAATCCAAACGTTAATTCGTAAGTAATGATGCAGCACTTCACTGTGCTCACCATCGCTGCGTTTAAAATCAATCAGATAAGATGAAATGTATCTGCCGCCATCAAACGGAGGACTCCAGCCAACTGTGGCGGCTCTTTGTTTCAGCTCTCTGAGCTCCACCTGTGGCGGAGAGGGGCGTCCTACGGTGTCAGAACAACAAGGTAGAATATCATGCACGCACATGAAACATGCAGTAATTCACTGTTATTGCATTATAAGAATACCTGGTACAACATTGAGAGTAGTCTCAACTTCCTGATCGTTGAACCAGCCAGGTATTTCCACCCGACAGATATATTTGCCCGAGTCAGCCTCCTGTACCTGTGTGATGGTGAGCGAGGCGTCCCCATTACCGAGATTACCCCTGAGATCGTAACGCCACGACAGCCTTGACTTCACCGATGTCCCGTCTGACTTCAACACCTCATTGTTACAGCCAAATGCAGATGTAGAACCTCTGGCCCAGCAAAAGGGCAGCCTGTCATATTTCCAAATAGCATAGGTGCAGGTTAGAGAAACGTCTGATCCCACTGTTGTTGTTGTTGTGTAGTATTGACAGGTACAACCTGAAAAGAGGATGACTGATTACCAATGAAGTCCTTTAATCGGTCTTCATTAACATGTTGTCTTACCTTTAAGAAGACAAAGGAGAAGGAGGCAGTAGAAAGCAGGGAACTCCCTCCCCGAACGATTCATCTTATTCCTCTCACCTGGATCAGTGATTTTATCATCTGCTCACCCCAGTGGCGATCAGCCTTTAAATATGTCAGAGTTCCCTCGATATGCTCAAGCATCCAACTTTTGGTGGCATTAGCAGAAAAACATGCAGTTCCTTTTCTTTGGCTCAGGTTCCTTCTACTGAAAATTTGGTTCCTTTAATTAGAAAAGGTCATCAGCGCATCATCAGATTGGTAATCTGTGCTTTTCACCAGAACAATGAGCAGGCTGAAAACTTACTGCACACTTTTACCTAAAAAACCACTCAAAATACAAAGATAAACTTTTCTTACACTAACAACATGTAAATTGTCTTTTTTTATTTTTATTTTATTATTTGCACAAATGCAGAATCTGTGAGGGGAATAAAATATTTTTAGCATAAAAAAAAATCCCATAAAATAGGAACAGGAAGGAAAACAGAAAAAGGGGATCTTTAATTCATAGATATTCTTCGTAATAAGCTGACGGTTTCCAAAACAGATTCAAAACAACAACAAATAATATAATCAGTGTGATCATTGCATAACATGATAATTTAAAGAGCTTTTTATTGGATTTTGGAAACATCCCACCTTTGTTGGACTACATGTATAAGACAGTACAGGTTCCATTCTGCCTCTTTCAAAATTATTTTGTAGCACAGTTGAGACTCCATGATAAATGACCTTATTCAAAAATATACAGTAAGGACCTCACTGTTGTGCATTTATTTCTCTAGTTTGTTTTAACAGTGATATTTCTCATGGGGTCTTGGAAAACAGATCAATTCACCTTGAACTTTGTTTTTATGTTTTGCCAAATTGAAACCACAAATTCTGTTTCATTTTATTGATAACAATACAAAGTAGT